TGGCTGTCAGGTTTTTAAAATAGACCTTGAGAGAGAGAGAGAGAACATTTTCACTTTTATCTCTCCGCTTTATGTCCGTAAATTTCGAAAATAAATCAAAAAGAAAGAAATTTTTGATGGTACACAATTCCTGACAAAACACCCATCTCCCCGGCCACTTGGTGCTGCTTCGTGCACTGCTGGTGCTGGTACTGTTCAAATGTTGCCTGCTCATAATGGCTGTTGAATCGAATGAATTGCTTAGCGCTTCAGTCAGCAAATAATATTTTATGCATTGCTATGGCTTTATTACCCCAAAAATGTTGACGCTGATTCTGGTATTGTGTTATTACAGTTATTGTTCTTCTTCTTATTATTAAATCATAATTAAAATATTTTGCTATACGCAGGAAAAGCGAAAAGTTCAGGCCAAATGTGTCGAGGATGGGCTCTAAAGAGAGTAATCAACATAAATATGTCAGAATTCATATGACAGGCTTTAAAAAGAAAAATTATATGGAAGAAAAATGTGCTGGAACATACATATATACACACATAGCGTGATTGAGGAAAAAAAGAACAACAAATCACGGACTGAACGACTGGAATTGTTTGGTTCATAAGACAAGAGAATGAAAGAAAAAAGAAACATCGAATGAAGCATATCTTAACAATGACGTGATGTGTGCGCCTTGTATAAGATCAAATGGCGGATTTGCCATTGTTTCGACGGCAGCGGCGGCGGCGGCGGCTGCTGATGGTGTGGGGATAAAAGGCGTTGCAAACTGACAAATCAATCTGTATTTAAATTTCGATAAAACTTCACCGCATTCGAAAAACCAACGCAATGAAACATTTAAATGACAAACGAATGTCACACAACAAAACCTAATGAATGTGCTTGAGAATGAGTTGCGAATGTGATGCGAAAAGAAGCAAATGGAAGAAGAAAAAATGAAAACATGGTGCCAGATGAGCTTTTCATAGATTTATCAGATGGAAAAACCGAACAAAAAATTTGAAATACCAAAAGAGAAACAAAGCTGTATCAATTTTCATATTATTTGTTTCCAGGTGAATTGTGTATGTTTATTAAAATAAAATACAATTTTCGCGCATATCTAGTGTGTGGTGGGAAAAGTTTGCGAATCCACAGCAATCAATAAGTGATTTTATTATGATGATAACGGGTGCGAACATTTGGACTCAACACCCAACACCTACACAGCCAGCAGCAGCAGCAGCATCATCATTCTATCTATGGCCTGGTGTGGCGCACATTTCTTCTGGGTAAAGTAGCAAAATACAATGGAAAAGCGAAGAAAAAAGTGGATTTTTGTCGCATCGTATGCCGTACCACCTCAACATTGATTGAATTTCTCGTTCTCTTTCTGGCTGGCTGGCTGGTTGGATATTTGGTTGGCAGCTACATAGTTGTTGTTGCTGCTGCTTCTTCATCCCCCATTCCTTTCTGTCTATATCTGTCTGTTTCTCTTGGTGTTGTATCATTTGAAAATTTTCACATAATCGCCAGAAGCGACATTCTGTTGAATTTTTTATGATTGACTCTCGCACAGGAATGAATGTGTCGTTCTAGTTGTTATTGAATTTTATCGTTGTCGCAAAGTAAAGTAAAGCAAAAAAAAAAAAAAAAAATACAGAGAGAAAGAGAGGGAGAATGAATGAACATTGCCAGCACCTAGAACACAGCTCACAGTTAAATAAGAAGAAACACATCGACCAACAACGAGCAAAAGAAGAAAAAGAAGAAGAAGAAGTAGAAAAAAATTGCTTCGTCAAATAGCAAACAATATTACGTATGTAATGCGTGTTATGGAATTCATTCGACTACAAATTCTATTTGAGCGAATTCGTGTGTGCGTGCAATTTTTTGAATTCTCGTTTTTTTTTCTTTCGATTCGTGACATCACACAGACGTAACACATGCAGGCAGTAATGTTTGCCACCGGATTGGGTATAGAGTATGGCCCAAGGAAATTTGCTCCCGCAATTTTTGCTGCTTTTATTTCGGCGAACAACGCGAGAGATAAACAGAGCAAAATATTGGATGACAGCGGATAGAGAGAGAGAGAGAGAGGGATAGAGATTGTTGGTGTAAATGCATTCATACGTACATATATATAATTTTTGCTGTGATAAAACGAGAAACAAATCATGGAAAACACAAAAACGAAACACACAAATGAAATCAACGCGAAAATGAGAAAATAAAAATAAACAGAAAATCAATAAAACGTGCCACTTTGCTTCGGAACATGCTTTCAATGCAAAATTGTGACACGATGCTCATTCGCTCGCTCGTGCTCAATGTATGACTGTTTGTGTGTGTATGTGTGTGTGTATGTGTACGTGAGTTTGCCAAGCGATTTTCGTGAAAGTGGCATCAGGTCAGCGAAGCATTCATCGAAATTCATCGAGTCTAAATTCACAAACCATGATTCGCTTTAGCCTGATTTAAAATCTACGTGAACATCCACATTTCGTGCACAAATATCGAGAACACAGCGAGCAATAGCAAGTTTACTTTGAGATTCAGCGCAATACCGTTTGCCATACTGCTTTCGTTCGTCATGGACCAAAAATCCAAGTCGATAAATGATGATACGAATTATATATGAACGCATGAGAATCAAAATACAGCAAACCTTAGTATTTTCAATGCAGAAATGAGCTTTTTCATTGATACAAACTGTGTTGATGCGATTCTTTTTCCAAATGAAAGCCTTGAAGACTATGAATTATCGCAAATGGAAAGAAAATAGCAAATGTCATTTTCAAAAGTATTTTGACGCTTCATTTTTGCCTTCAAGAAAAACTCTGCCTAACAATTCAACCCATTTTCGACGTTTTCCAGTCCAAGAAATGTGTTTTGTGTGGAAGTTATTTTATTGCGACGCAATATAATGTCATCTCGTTAGCTTCGGTTTGGCTTCAAGTCAAAATACAAAATCGCATTGTAAATATTTCGTTCATTCGATTAAAGTTACACATATTCAAGTTACACATTATAATGCCTGGTCATACTATATGAAAAGCCATTCTTTTTTATGCAACTGAAGTGATGGTGAGAGCAGTGCAATGCAAAATTGTGCAATCTAGCGCACGCACACAACTGAAACGTGCGGTACTCCTGACAAAAGTGGCAATCATTTTCCGAAAATCGTGAATTGTTTTGGTCGAATGTAAATCGTAGCGTCGAAATGCGCGCACGAGAAGGCGCTCGGAGAATTGAGATTCATCGTTGTATGTAATGCTCTGAATCCGTTATCGTATCAATTTTTCATCACGTATAATTTGCATAAATCGTATTTACTTTGTCAATTGGGCCGGCGGGCTCTTTTTCCACGAGTAGCTGCTTGAAATCTAATGCAAATTTATATGCCGTTGTTTCGTGCACACAGTGGATGTGCGTGAGTATGCGATTTGCTCGTCGTTAATTCCGTAAAACCGAGAATAGAAGCCTTTCTGGCCCATCCATATTTCGAAACCATTTCATGTGTTCATCTATTCCGGCATTGTGTTTTTGCTAGGTTGACGGACTGATTGTCTCGGGCAAGGAAGAAATGAATTTTTCGTTTCCTCAATTGAATTTACCATTTTGCTCATTTGCATACGTAATCAATCATTTTATCGTCAGCAACATATTAATGCATTTTCGTTTTCAGTAAACGAGCGAGGAGGCAAAATTACAATATTATTATTTATAGTCATAATCGGTGAATCGAATTGATGATGGCCACCGAAATGACTGCAGAGAGAAGTAGTTATACACCCGTTTTCCCTCTTGCTCTCGCTCTCTCTATTTTTTTTTTATGTTTGTGCTGGATTTGGTCCAAAAAATTCAATTTACTTGAATTTCGCTTTTATTTTGAAGAGCGCACTTTTATGTTACTGCCCATGACAACATAAACAAGTTACCCAGCTTCAATTTAACTGTCTCAAAACGAAACGGCTTCAAATATTGAGCGCGACGCAAATGAACATTCGCTTCGATTAGTTGTTATACTGCCACTGCTGCTGCTGCTGCTTGAGTTGGTGGTGCTATTCGATAGCGTGAATTGACAAGCAAGTACGTGCGCGCTAAGAAGTCAACAACATATTTTAGATACGAATTACAAGCAAATTATTGAAACGTTCGAGCGGGGGTGAAAGGAGAGAAGGTCGATGAAAGTAGTGCAATATTTGGTGTCGACCGGGAGCGAAATAGATAGAGCTAGAAAGACGAACGAAATGTATACTATATGAGAGAAAGCCATTAGTGAAAAGCGCTGGAAATTACGAGTGTGTTTTTGATTGTGCTGAGCAAAAACAATAAACCATTCGGCAAAATACGAAAAGGGATTTTTGTCCACTTGTTATAATGCAAAACTCATGTAATGACTGTGCCTTTGAAAATATATATATATATATATATAGAATGTGTTCAGCACGCATATCCCGTTTGAGCTTAGAAGAGCGAAAGCGAGAGTGCGAGTGAGTGAATGAGTATGGCCCGGGATGAAACAATGTATTAGCCGATGTTTTTTTTAACGACCAAACTTTTCGACGAATTCGAAATAGCCGGATGTGTACTAGCAAATATAAAATTAGACAAAACTCGGCACACAAGTGTATTAGGAGGCAACAAATCTTTTGGCAATGGCAACGGTGATAGTGGTGCTGCTAGTGCGGTGGCGATGGCAGCGACAACAAACTAATGCATTTATGATATCTTCAAAGGGTCATCAAGTCGAAGATCAAAACTTTGCCTCGTGCTTGCGAAAGAGTCAAAAATTACAATGACTCGGAACTATGACATTAAAACAACCCACTAAACTTTTCTCTCTCACATTTGTGTATGAGTGTGCTTGTGTGCGTTCAAAATTAATGACAATTTCTACTTCCCATTTCATTAGAATTTATTTTCATGACATTGCCAACATCAATTCTTACCCTCTAAATCAAGCAACATCACTAAATTCACTCAAATTTTTGTTTTCTCTCTTTTTCTTCCATTGCAGATATTAATAAAGGATCACCCATAGATTATAAAAGTGGTTCAGCGTGTTCAACGCCCACAAAAGACACATTAAAAAGTTACGATAGAAATTATTCGGGGCCCGTATTGCCGCCACGTAGCGCAATGTGTGGCGCACCGTCACATCATTATTCAGCACCTTTGAACTTCCGAAAAGGAATAGCCGCTAAATGTTCGTGGAAATGCACAGCTATCGCTGTCATTCTGCTCAGCGCTGTTTTGTTATTATTATTGATTTTAATCACAGGTAAGAACCAAATCAAACCGATTTTCAATCCATTATTTTGATAATAATTTATCGAAAACAATCAATACAATAGTAAATAGTATTTGTTAGTGTTGGTTGTAATAAAGATAATGGCCGTTAATAACATTTATTTTCCTTGAATGAAGCAATCGCATAGGTCGTGTTTCTGTGGAGTTTTCAAAACTATACTTGGAAAGAGCTATCAATTTTTGAATATTTTCCAATTTATTTCCTGATACATATTTCAAGTTAAATTGTCCGGTCATTTCGAAATTCCAAGTTAGACATGCATATCAGTCAGTCACATTGAATATTCATTTTAAATTTCTGTGGAAATAATGTTCGTTGAACCGTCGCTGGCTTAAAGGATTTTTGAAATTGTAATGGCATACAAATGAAATGTTGTCAATTTTATGCAAAACGATTTTGTTCCATTTTCTTTTCATTGGCCAACGTTTATCATCGTTTTTTCTCCTTAGAAGTCCCAAATAATCTCAGTAAAATTAAGCAAATTAAGTTCATTGTCCCGGGAAAAAGAAGAAGAAGAAGGAATAATCCAGTTATTTCCAAGTGGGAAATGAAATTTCCGCCATTAGACTCGATCAATTTCAAGATGAGGTTAGAAGTTGATAGCCCAAATGGGAATAGTTTTAGCGAAAATAAATCAGCGAACCCAAAAATTTCAACTGTCACTCATCATGATAAATTCTTCCGCTTCGCTCAACCTAATTTTTCTTTCCATTCTCGGAGTCTTATCTACTCGGAGTGTATATAATGTTGTCGTAAGCCACAACAAACTTTAGCAGAGAAAGTCTAAAAATAAGCCCGCACATATAAATCTCCAATTACTTGTGACCGGCAAAAGCACGCGCAGCACAGTACATCGTTCGCAAAATTTGTGTTCGATGGATGAGAATTTTGGTGCTTCTTTTATGCTTTGCTCACTTCACTTTCGGTTCGGTCTCTTCCTTTTGTCAGCTTGTTTAGTATGCATTCAGTATAATTCACGTTATTGATTGGATTTATCATTCTTTACGTTCTTTTTTCTCGGCTTTGTCTCTCTTCTTCTTCTTCTTCTTCTCCTCCTCCTTCTCCGCTCCCTCCGTATGTGTACGTTTCCCGTTCATCATTTTTCGCCATTGAAACGGTCCACACTCCGCCCAAGCGATTAGGCTATTGTTTTTATAAATAAGCTATTCTAATTCAAAAGACATTAATGTAATAAATCTTTCTATTTTCTACTTTTTTTCATATGCTCGCATTTTTTCGTCACTGATTTCGTGTCTCTCTGTGTGTATGTACACGTGGCGTTTATGGCGATTCATTTGATTGTTCAATGGACTGTGCGCTCGCTTGTTCGCTTTCTCAACGATGTTTGGCCATTGATCGATTCCTCTGTTAAATATAACGACGACGATGATTCTGATAAAAAAAAAATCAAAAACAAAAAAAAAATCCGACAACAACACACAACCAAACAAATTAGGATCAAATGTTTTGACATGGTCGAACCCAGCGTGTAGTGTTCTAGTCGGTGAAAATTCGGAAATAACTGCCGCAAAAAGTACTGTACCCGAAACCAATGATAAATCAACAGCGAACCGAGCAAAGCCATCAATCTCATCGACGTCATCGCCATCATCGTCGGCGGCAGCAGCAGCGGCCGGAAATCCAGCTGCAAATGGGAATAATGGCGCGACAGACATTAGCAGTCAGGCAACCGGATCAACTAGTTCAATTGGAGGTAATCTAAATAAAGTTTCAGATCAAATTTTACATCCACAGCAACGGCAATGGCGTAAAACTGTTGTTGTTGTAGCAAATGGCCGTAATATGCACGAGACACGAAGACGCAATCAAATGCTGATGATGATGATGATGATGCGTATCAATGGGCAAAATCAAGAAAACAATGTCAAAGATTCGACAAAAAAGAAACTGATGACAAAGTTAAATGAACAAAGTGTGCACGAAATTAGCGCAAATGGAGAGCAACATTTCAATTTGGAAACGGCACAATACACATTTCCACTAAGTGGTAAAGATGCGGAAATGCGTATTTTTACGCCCAATCACCGAAATTCGGTCAATGGACAATCGGAGCGGCCAGAAATTGTTGCACAATATGCAAGCCGACAGCGACGAAGTGCTGCCACTGTTGCTTTTGAAACGCCCGAAATGGAAGGTAGTGGATTTGATAATGTCAATGTTCCATTTGATGGTTATACTGTGAACGATGGAAAGGAGGAAGACATCGAAAATGACGGAAATAGTTGGGACAGTCCCATTCCATTAAGGGTAAACAATGCACGCTATCAATTTGATGATAGCGATACGGATGATGAGACTACTGACGTCAAAAACCAACGCCGGAAGTTCGATTTAAGTAATTTGATGCTTGATGAAAATGAACCACCACCGTTGAAGACGACAACGATTGTGAAAATGGTGGCAGCTCCGGCTCAAGTCAAAGCCATCACAACGAAATCGGAAGATGATCTATTTGCAAGCGATTTACATGTAACAAATGTTGATGGTAATGAGAATGGTAACAGTCCTTCGCATTCACCTGCACCAAATGATTTTAATGAGAGTTTTGAATTAATAACCGATTCCATTCACGAAACTTTGGTTTCCGAAAATGTGGTAAATGACAGTCATCATAAGGCAACGGCAACGGAGACGACGAATGACATAATCCAAACATCAAGTCAAATGCCATCCGTCTTAAATTGGACAAGTTCGGATAATAATCTGACGCCACAACCATTAATTATGGATGCTGAAGGTGAGCATCGGAGGAGAGGCTCGAAAAATGTCAGTGCAAATGGTATGAAATTCGATGATGACACATTCGTTGATAAAATCGACCACAAACCGGAAGTCAATGATGCTACTTTACAAAATGATTCACCAGCAATAATTGTTCAATACGATAAGCAACCGATTTTGGAAGTTAACAATCTTGACACGACTACCGATTCAATCGGGGTCGATGAACACGTTGCTGTCAAGAAACAACGGCACAACGACGACAATGCTGTCATAAATCCAAGTATGAATGTGGACATGAATGCGAATGACGACTCAAATGCAAAGCATGCAATAAACAAAACCGATAAACCGCCGCATTCAATTGAAGAGAACAGTATCGATAGAAACGCAGCTTATGTTGAAACGATGTCTGGAACTAAATATCAAGAGCCACGTTATGGAATGCTCGACAGCAACGTGGCGCACCACGATTTAATTAGGGCCAAAGATGTGGCAGCACAAAATATGCAACGGATTTTAGTGAATGTGTCAATTGGCACCGATTCAGGTGACGGTACACAAAATCATGGTATTTACATGCTACACGTTTCCGTTCCGGCCGGTCCCAATCTGAAGCCGGCATATTTTGATGGTGATCCACCACCGCAAACCGCTGTTCATGAGCCGCCGATATTCATCAAACCCACGCCACATCGAATATCAAACGATGAAAATGATGACAATGACAAAGTCGCGTCAGCACCATCACAACCAATAGAGCAGTCCGCCACACGAGCAGATCCAGCTGAATGCAGTAGTCTCACTCGAAAATCAGCCGAACTGGTGCTCGAATGCAGTAACGAAATATCTCGCCTGAATTCAATTATTGCAAATTTGAATAAAACAATGGAACGTACAAATTCATTCGAACCTTCGTCGTTATTTTCATCGCCGTCACCACTGCCATCGCCTTCGGCATTGCCAGGCTCATCTTCACGAACCAATGATAGTTTAATTGCCACCAAAACAGAAGGCAATGCTGCAAATGAACCCGAAATGTTGACGACGACAGCAAATACGATAGAAACTGTGTCTGATTACAAAGGCAATGACAATCACATTAACAACAATAATTTTGGTTTGTGCAATCAAGATATTCCGTCGATTTTAATTTTGGAAGGTAAGCGATTTGCTTACACACACACATATATATAAACATACGCATATGTACATTTCCCCGCCGCCGTGTCATCGTATATCCACATCATGGAAACAGAACATTTTCGCATCTCATGCTCTTTCTCTCTAGCGCACTTTCTCGCTCCCTCATCAAGTCGATTTATAACACAAACACGCTCACCCGCACACATGTTTTGACATCTGTGTGCTGCTGCGGTGGAGTTGTGCTCAACATACTCAAATTTAACTCTCGTTCTCTCTGGCTTCATCCAGTGATGTCTGGGCGATATATGACGAAAGACTAAACCAAACCATTTCAATGATAAGCAACGACTAGATGCTTTATGTTTGATGTAAGTGTGCGCTTTTGCAACGACAACAACAGCAACAACAACAACAAACAACGACGGTGACTACGGCGACGAAGACCAGAAAGACACAGACTAAATTAATGTAAATATGGGATATACAAACATCTCGTGAATACTCATCTCTGTCTGTGTATATATGGGGATATATTGACGCGGTGTTACAACAATAGATAGACTGAAAACTCAGACCAAAACTTGCAACGAGATAGGGAGAAAGAGCGTGCGCTCTTAATCAGCGAGAATGAGAAATTCTGTAATGTCATCAAAAAACCATTCAGCTTCAATTTCATGTTCAATGTGTACATATATATAGAGAGAGAGAGAAAGAAACAGAGTGCGAGCCGGAACGATTTTCAAACGCACTCGAGACGAAAAACAGTTGCAAAGCGAAAATTGAAATAATTTCTCCAAGAGTGTGTATGTGAGTCTACCGTACAAACTTGAAAGTGAAACATTTCGAGAACATTTTATTTTGTAAATAATGTCAACGAACCATTTTTCCCGAACCATCATCATCATCATCACATACAAATTCATCCATATATAAGTATCGTTCCTTTCTGAGCAGCTGAATGCAGCTGAAACTTTCAAAAGAAAACGCAACGCCACTTTGTATATAATTTACGCTTGTTTGCTTAATCATTTTCAGCGACATAATTCTAATCTATTCTCAAACACACAATCATTCCTATTCATTGATCTAATCGAAATTGTTTTCTCCTTCATTCATTCCACATTCGATGCTGTCACGAAACGTGTACGCGCCGCACTTTGTTGGTCGATTCATTTTTGCAGGTGCAAGGACATTTCCAGCTCGTAGTTTTCCACCAGACGGCACAACGTTCTCACAAATTACACTTGGACAAAAGTTATCGAAGCAAATACAGCCGTACAGCTACTGGAACATGCAATTTTATCAATCCGAACCGGCCTACGTTAAATTTGATTATAACATACCGCGCGGTGCATCGATCGGTGTCTATGCTCGACGTAATGCACTACCAACGCACACTCAATATCACTTCAAAGAAGTTTTGAGCGGAATCAATGCTCGCACAACACGTTCAACTCACGTAAGTTTACCGCACATTTTATCTCTCACTCTATGCCTCATTTTGTGTTCAGCTTTTTAGCAGAGAGAATTTTGTCGCGCTGCCGTGGCAAAAGCATCAGAAGCAGCATCAGCATCAGCCGCCAAATTCTCTCGGCCATGTCAAGATAAAATTTATGGGCCTAACTGTGGAATTTTATGTTTACTTTTTCTCTCTCTCTCTCTTTATCTCTATGTGTCGCAGCAACCGTCGGTGAGCCGAGAAGTGACACGGTATATGGAAAATGGCCATTGGTTTATTTCGCTGTACAATGATGATGGTGATGAACAGGAGATTACATTTTATGCAGCTGTTGCCGATGACATGACACAAAATTGTCCGAATGGATGCTCCGGTAATGGGCAATGCTTGTTGGGTCATTGCCAATGCAATCCCGGCTTTGGCGGCGATGATTGTAGTGAAAGTAAGTGCCTTTCGATTTTAACCCCATACTCTCTCTCTCTCTCGCTCTCTTTCTCTCTGTTTCAGCTTTCGAACAAATGAGCCTGACGAGGGCGAACGAATGAACGAACACAAATTTACTTCTTCAGTCAGTTTTAGCTTCATTATTCTCATACTATGCCGGTGTGCTGGTTTTCGTGTATCTCGAAAGAGAGAAACGAGAAAAATCACCACCGAAAAGATTTGATGAATGGTCTGGTCCATGGCAAGGGGATGCTTCGTTGGTGTGTGTGTGTGTGTGTGTGTGACATCCAACATACAACACCCAACATCCATAAATCGAAAATGTTCAATGAACCGAGAATAATGCACATGGTGTACTTTTTTCGTGTTCATTTCGTTACGCTTTCGACTGTCCAATATCTATGATACACATAGCAAGAGTATACAAGAGTAAAAGAGCATTTACGAAAGGAAAAAACACAACGACTTCAATATAACGTTTGCAACGACGATCAGGACAATGATGACCAGCACATTGAAGAGGAGGAGGCAAATAAATTTATTCATCGTTTTGATTTCATTAGACATGTCGCTATGTCTCGATGTCTAGTGCATGGTCATTTTTACACTCGCAGAAAATTAAAGTCCATGCACATTTAATGCATGCACCAAAGCCATCCACCCTCAATGTCTCTCTATCCATTTGCTAGCTGATCCAGCATGCCTCTTTTAACTCTTTCGCTTTCATACGGCTGGCTCTTTATCAGTTCAAATAGTCAATTGAATTTAAATTCGAAAACGTATGCATTTCGTGGCCCATTCTCATTCGATTTATTTGCCTCTCTTTCTCGCTCGTCCGTTCATTCGCTCGTTCGTTCGCTCGCTCGCTTGCTCGCCCACCATCGCTTCCATACACACAATGATGATTTTTCTAATGCTCATGTATAATTAATTACATCAAATAGGCGTGTGCCCAGTATTATGTTCGCAAAGGGGTGAATACATCAACGGTGAATGCCAATGTAATCCAGGTTGGAAGGGTAAAGAATGCTCGCTGCGGCATGATGAATGTGAAATCGCCGATTGCAATGGTCATGGGCACTGCCTCAGTGGCAAATGTCAATGTATCCGTGGATATAAAGGTGCCTCGTGCGAAGAAGGTAAAGTGTTTAATTTCAGTTTCGATTATGCCTTTTTGGCAACGACAATTTATGGCAATGTTCTCTCAATGCATTATGGCAAAGGAAATGAAAGATCATGGCAATAAATTATGGCGCTTTTTGTGGTGGAGTGGGTGGGTGGATTTTAGGGATTATTGTTGTGACACAACAACATGACGCGACAATGGTCAAATGAGCAACATTACTCTATGCATCTAATATACACATTTCGATGGATGCACGTGTCATTTCGCTTGACTTTGTTGACGTCATTAAGCACTTCACTTTTTTTCTCTCCATTCACACACACACACACACACACAAAAAGCTGTTAGTATTTTGATTGTTGCATGCCGAATGCGATAATGAACAGAGATTCGAATTCAGTACTAATTGTTATTGATTTTTGCTGTTTTTCTACTTCAAAATAATGAAACTATAGTCGATTGCCCTCATCCAACTTGTTCTGGGCATGGTTACTGCGCGGCCGGCACATGCATCTGCAAAAAGGGATGGAAAGGACCTGACTGCGGAACCATGGATCAAGATGCATTGCAGTGTTTGCCCGACTGTTCCGGTCACGGTACATTCGATTTGGACACTCAAACTTGTAACTGTGAGCCGAAATGGAGCGGTGATGACTGTTCCAAAGGTAAAGTTTTCTTTGTCTTTTTCTTTCTAACCTGTTCGTAGAAGCTACCAATTTTGCTAAATTCCAATTGGATTTAATTTTTGTTGTTGTTGTTGCAATTCAAACAAACTGATACAGAATTATGCGATCTGAACTGTGGCTCACATGGAAAATGTGTTGGAGAGACGTGCACATGTGACAGTGACTGGAGCGGGGAGTACTGCACTGAAAAGCGATGCGATGCCCGATGTAATGAGCATGGTCAATGCAAAAATGGCACCTGTCTGTGTGTGACTGGATGGAACGGAAAACATTGCGGCATTGAAGGGTGTCCAGCAAGTTGTTCAAATCATGGACAGTGTCGTGTTAGCGTCGAAGGTTTATGGGAATGTCGATGCTACGATGGATGGGATGGTGCTGATTGTTCCGTTGCATTGGAACAAAACTGTGCCGATAACAAAGACAATGATAAAGGTATGTGTTTGTGTCTGTGTCAGTGTTAGCGCTACGAGAAATATAAACCACAAATCCATTTTATAATGCCACTATATTGTATTCATGCCGTCGTGTTTATCTGTTTTAGATGGTTTGGTCGACTGCGAGGATCCGGAATGCTGTTTGAGCAGTGCATGTCGGTCGAGTCAATTGTGTGTCTCTGCTCCGAAACCCATCGATGTGTTGCTAAGAAAACAACCACCAGCCATCACCGCTTCATTCTTCGAACGCATGAAGTTCCTCATCGACGAGGGTAGCTTACAAAATTATGCCAAACTCGAAACATTTAACGAAAGGTAAGATCATTGTTTATTTTTGTCTATTTCAACCCAACCAAAAAAAAAAAAATTGTCCTTCCGACATTTCGTATATTTATACTCGAAAATCAGCATTTTATGAATGATTATAATTGAGGAAAAAAACAGAACATACGCGTGGAAATGAGAAACAACCAATTTTCCGCTTCAAACCGATCCCCATGCCTATACAAATACAATTTCTGATCCTACAAAAATAAACGAATATTCCGGCGATCCGAACGATGGAACATGAAAAAAAAAAAATAGCATGAAATCAATCGAACAATTAACAAACAGAACAACAGCAAGATTTCCAAAATCATGAGATGGAAACAAACAATTGGGAAAACCCATGAAAAATTCACCAATTTGCATTTTTGCACACCGAATTTGACGAACAACAACGCAAAATATGACAAACATTCCGAAACTGAAAACATACGACACAAATAGACAAATGTAAACAAATAGCTTCAATGACTGTAAATATGTATATTTTTTGTCCGTTTTCCACATCTCTCTAAGCGCAAAAAAAAAAACAAAAATAAATTCCACTTTTTTCGCTCTTTTTTGTATATTGCATCAAATCGGTGCAACATTTTTTACGCCATACTAGAATGAAATGAGCAAATAAAAAAAGTGCCACCATCCCTCCGACCATCGATGGATTACGTCAATCACATAATCATTTTTCAAACGTATGAACCAAAATAGAAACAACAACAAAAGTACCTATCATTGTTGAAACACAAAATTTCGTTTCAAAAGCTCAACAACACAAATTAACACAAAATAATAAATCGGATTTCGAACACATTTCTGCCCGAATTCATAAAAATTAACACCGCATACCCACAGAGGCACCCGTGCGAACGTCGCGCGCTTGACACAATGACAACGAACAGAGAGAAGAAAAAAACATAAAAATGATCTGAATAAATATCAAATTCGAATAATAATACCGACTAAATTGGCCATCGTGCATTTCTCTCTGTTCGCAAAATCAAGGGCGAGAGAAAGGAAAGAGCGAGCACATACACAAATTTATGTGCACAATAAATTACATATTCATTTGAAGTTGTAATTTTACCATGCTTTTGTTGGATTTTCCATTCTTTTGTTTGTCAAGTTTTGTTGATAGAGACTAACAACAGCTACCGAATAAAAAGAAAATTAATACACACAGACAACGACAACAACAACCGAAATAAAAACGAAACAATTGAATTTCCATACATGTACATATACCGAACGAACGAGCAAGATAAAAGTCTATAATTTAATGAGTAAAAACACGACGAAAAAAAAAAACACCATTAATATATTGTATTGTTTGAGAAAATTTTGTTGTGCCCCCGTCAAATCGTCAATCTAACTCACTCATCCCAAATGACTTTATGTTTTTTTTTTTTTATATCCGTTTTGTTCGTCGAGTTTTTCTGTATCAGCGTGCGTTTTTTTTTTGTTGTCTTCAAAAATATTGTTTTGTTATTCTAATATGAACACAGATGAAGAGGAAAAAAAGTGCCAACAGAATATTTAGAATTTGATTTGATTTTCTTTCTTCTTTTATTTCATTGGATAATTTGCATTCATTTGTTGATCCAATTTCTTGTTTGCCAGTTAATACTCTCTCGCTCTTTTTTTTTTTGTTTGTCTCGTCCATCGTACGTTTTTCTGTTCGATGCTAAGGTTTTTATATGATTTTTTTTTCATCCTTTTTTTCTGCAAAATAAACAACAATATTTTAATGAAACAAAATAATTTGAATACACACTATGCTGCGCGCGAATGTTCAAAGGGATTATTTGCGATATTTCATAATTGGATGTGTTTTACGCCTTTGTTGTGTACGGCTTCGTACATTCTCTCACCCAAACCGAACCGAACCGAACCAAATCGAAGCGCATTTGAATTTGATTGTCCCAAATGACATAATTGGATAGCATCCAAATTTTAAACTCTAGGGATAATGCGGTCACGTACATAAAATACATACATTTATATCTCATTGACAGGAAAACCAATTGAATTCGCGTGACAAAATTCTCGGGCATTGTGTGATGCCGGTCTAAATTATGCATATTTGCGAGAATACGCTCACGCGCACATACATACACACGCGCTATATAGTGTACATATGGAGATATATCTCTCTCTGTGTCTCATAAGACCACATGCGTTTCACACATTTTCATCAGGCGTCGATTTCTGAACACAAAGGCTCACATCGATTTGAATTGAACATTTTTTTTCTCTCCTTTGTATTTTTGAATTTGTAAATAACATTGCCACAAATGTGTAAATATATTATCAATTCCTATTACACAACAGTTGAAAACTGCTATTTAGTACAGCACACAAACACAACGAATTTGAAAAAAAAAACAGGCGCCAAAGTGTTAGGGACTTGATTCAATTGATATTTAGGTTCAAAAAAAGAAAATCTACTGACCATAAATTAATTGGTAATATTTGAAGATTTGGTTACTAAACAATTTGTTTTTGATATCAACTAACCCTTTACTCATTTCTCTGCATTGATCGGTTCTACTTTCCACTCATTTATATGAGACTGTTTGATCGCGACTAACATTTTGTTCATTTTTTTTTTCTTTAACTAGTCCATTAATATTTAATATCTAAGATAGCAAAATTCTTACACAAAATAATCTGATACTCATCTTTACCTGTTTTTTTTTCTTCTTCTTCTTCTTTGTCTCCACTCTAATCAAACTAAAACAAAAAACAAACTCATCCAAAAATACATTACACGAACCAAATACAATTCATACGAAAAAAATAATACACATACACACATAATAACATAACTTCCATGAAAAATGAATGAAATCGCAAACAAAACCAAATTGATATGAAAAATGTACAAAAAAAAAAAAAAATTATGGTCGTGCAGCGTCTTTTGGAATTATTTCAACGCAAGGTAAGCCCATTAAACCAAATTGTAATGATGCGAAACGATTGAACAAAAGAACCTCTGTTTGCAAGCGATTTTGAATATAATTTTTTGGTTTTCGTTGTTTGGTTTTTTGATTTGTTTTCGTTGTTGACAATTTGTTGAAAATTCTTAGATTTTTTGAAAAATTTCGTTTGATTGCTTGGTTTTTTGCTCTCTTTAGACTCTTCAATCTCTCTCTCTCTCTCTCTCTTTTAATCTCTTTTCTCGTTTGAATCTCTTATTTCAATCTATATTCGCATATACCGAGAACGCATCTTCTCACACACTCACACATACACCACCATACTCACCACAACCCGTACACAATTCACACAACCACACGTCTCTCTCTCTCTCTCTCTGTGTCTTATTTTCTCGAGGATATTCGAACAATCTCGATCCCGGGTGAATTAATAAATTGAAAAACATTCAAATTTGAAGTACATATATTAAAATCAGCTTAAATAGCAAAGATCTACGCCCCTATGCTAAACGCTCCGACTGCAATTCGCTTGTTTCGAACGCATTTTCCTTTCGATTTAGGTATCACATGCAATTCAGTTTTCTGTTGATTTTCAACACCGCTAAGAATTCCGGTGTAAACACATTGTGTTGGCGGACTCAATTAATTTGAGTAAATAAGCTCAAGTCGGCCTGTCCATTTCTTCAAAAAAATCAAATGCCAAACATAGCTCACACACTCCGAAAAAAGAATCACTAGAAAACCAGCCTGCTTGCAATTCAAATATTATCATTAACCAATGAAAGCCTAAATTCAAACTATGCACAAATTCCCTTGTTTGAATCCACTTGCATTTATCATAAACAACTTATTCAGTATTTGCCCAAAATTAATTGTAAATGAACACAGCGTCACCATCAAAATGGAAACACTTGCAATTTTTTTTTCCTACAAAATTCCAAAAAACATTCGCACTGTATCACATCTACACCAAATTGCACACATTGTAAATGAAAAATCGAACAAAAAGACTCGAACACGTTTTTATGGTTTTTTTTCTCTTCACTTTTTGTACAGAAACAAAGGAAAAAAAATTGATTTTTCTTCTTTTTCGGTTTGATATTTTAAGACTAGTCTTGGTTTGTGATTGATTTTATGTAATGTGTATAACCAAAAAACCCATTATTTTATGTATCTATTGATTGTAGCTTTAGTTTTTCACAATGTAACGCATTGGTCATTCGGTTTGAAATGCATCGAAATCAGAGCCCGATTCTTTTTCCATCGAAATTCAAAATAAAAAATAAATTTAACATTCGAATTTATTCTGATGGTCGAAAAAGAAACGGAAGTAGATGCATTTCATACCATAGACGTGTGCGTGTTTAACATCACTCACTTTGTTTTTTTTTTTTTTTTAAATATCATTCCCAAAATTGTTTTTTCAACTTTCTCTCTTTGTATATGTTGCATGATCCTTTTGTCAATTGATTATTTGTCCAAGAATTTGTGTGTCTTTCGTGAATTTTGTATTTTGTGCTGTCCACTTGAGAACGTAAAGACAAATCGATTTGGATTTTCAAGTGAATAATAAAACAGAAGTAATAAAGTGAAAAAAAGTAACAAACAATTGTCGATAGAAGCGCGCGATTTAGGAGGCTTTTATTCACAAGTTGCACACCAGCTGCTTTTGAGTTGAAACAAAAACATAGAAAATGAGCAAAAACGGACGAATGAACAAACTATTCCGGAAAAAGGAATATTTTTTTATAATTTTTTTTTTCCTCACCGAATCGTAGGACACACAACACACGTATTACATTTGATTGAGCGTGTCTGATCGACATGACGCCCACTTTATTCCATAGTTTTTGAATTGAATGAACAACCGTTTTTTTCTTCATGCTGTAATTTTTGTCTTTCAATCTTATGTTGTTCTTCCAAAGAAAATCTTCTCATGCTTTTGCCGTAGATAAAATGTATTCTTTCCAGCAACAATTTTCTTTCTTCTCATTTTTTGTTGTTGTTGTATCCAACAGACCAAACAAACACGTTTTCAAGACGATGTGATTTTAATTTGATTGAATTGTTTTATATATGTTGGATCGAATTCTCACTTTTAAATAATTGTATTTGAATTAGCGATCGTTTTTATTATCTCTCTCTCTCTCTCTCTCTCAAAGTTGTTATTTCTTTATACGTTTTTTAGAGTTGAATTGACACGAATAATCACGAATTGAATTACTTTCCTTTGGAATTTGGCAAGAGAGGAATATGAACTAATGAACAAGAAGAGCATTTACGCAAAAATCCAAAATCACACCGCTTCAGTTCATGATTATTTCGAACCAATTCGGTTTTTTGTTGTTGTTATTTTTTTTTTTTTAATTTTATTCGTTGGTTTTTCGAATGCATTCTACTGTGAAACCAACTCTTAAACTCAGCTAAAAGTGTATGAATACTAATGAATTGTTTCTCTTCTCTTTTTTTATTCTTTCACATCGTTTTTTGATGATGAATTTTGAAATAATAGTCGTTCGGCTGTAATCCGTGGACGTGTGGTGACATCGATGAACATGGGCCTGGTTGGCGTTCGTGTGAGTACATCGACACCGTTAGAAGGATTCACATTAACACGCGATGATGGATGGTTTGATTTGATGGTGAATGGTGGCGGTGCAATAACCTTACAATTCGGACGTTCACCATTCCGGCCGCAAAGCGTAATTGTTCAGGTGCCATGGAATGAAGTTATCATTATCGACACGGTTGTGATGTCGACATCCGAAGATAAATCACTTGCGACGGCGACGCATACGTGTGTTTCACATGATTATGATACAATGAAACCGGTGGTGTTGGCATCATGGAAACATGGTTTTCAAGGTGCGTGCCCAGATCGCAGCGCCATTTTAGCCGAATCTCAAGTCGTACAAGAATCGCTGCAAATACCAGGAACGGGCCTGAATTTGGTATACCATAGCTCAAGAGCGGCTGGTTATTTGTCAACAATCAAATTGCAATTGACACCGGAGGTGGTTCCGTCGACACTTTCACTAATTCATTTGCGTATTACAATCGAAGGAATTCTGTTCGAACGTGTGTTTGAAGCTGATCCAGGTATTAAATTCACTTATGCTTGGAATCGATTGAATATCTACCGTCAACGAGTTTATGGTGTAACCACGGCCATTGTCAAAGTTGGCTATCAATATGCCGATTGCAAGGACATTATTTGGGATGTTCAAACGACAAAACTAAATGGACACGATATGACAATTTCGGAAGTGGGTGGCTGGAACATCGATGTGCATCATCGTTACAACTTCCACGAAGGCATTCTACAAAAAGGAGACGGTTCGAATATTTACCTGAAGAATAAGCCACGTGTCATTCTGACCGCAATGGGAGACGGACACCAACGACCACTCGAATGCGTCGATTGCAATGGAATTTCTACCGAACAACGTCTTTTGGCACCAGTAGCACTCGCTGCTGGCTCTGATGGCAGCCTGTATGTCGGTGATTTCAATTATATTCGCCGCATTATGACCGATGGCATCGTTAAGACAGTTGTCATTTTGAATGCAACACGCGTTTCATATCGTTATCACATGGCAATTAGCCCATTGGATGGATCGCTGTATATTTCGGATCCAGAATCGCATCAAATCATCAAAGTTCGTAATGTGGACGATTTCGGTGATCCAGAGCATAACTGGGAACCGGTTGTTGGTTCAGGCGAACGATGTTTGCCAGCCGATGAGGCACATTGTGGTGACGGTCGTTTGGCCAGCGAAGCTAAACTCGCCTATCCAAAAGGCATCGCCATTGCATCCGATAATACCTTGTACTTTGCCGACGGAACTAATATTCGTATGGTCGATAAAGACGGAATCGTTTCGACAATCATTGGAAATCATATGCACAAATCACACTGGAAGCCGATGCCATGCGAAGGAACACTCAAAGTTGATGAGATGCATCTGAGATGGCCAACCGAATTGGCAGTCAATCCACTCGACAACACATTGCACATTATCGACGATCACATGATTCTGCGAATCGCACCAGATGGCCGCATCCGAGTGGTAGCCGGACGTCCACTTCACTGCACATCGACTAGCACACAGCTCGACTCTGAATTGGCCGTGCATGCAACACTCGTTCGACCACAGAGCATCGCTTTTGGACCACTGGGCGATTTGTTTGTCGCCGAAAGTGATTCGCAACGCATCAACCGCATTCGCGTCATTGGAACCGATGGAAAGATTACATTGTTTGCCGGAGCCGAATCGAAATGCAATTGCCTGGAACGTGGTTGTGACTGTTTCGAAGCCGACCACTTTTTGGCAACCAGTGCCAAATTCAACACCATCGCTGCCCTGGCCATCACTCCAGACAATCACGTGCACATTGCCGATCAGGCAAATTATCGCATTCGCAGCGTTATGTCGAGCATTCCAGAGGCATCCGTTCAACGTGAATATGAAATATTTGCACCAGACACACAAGAGATTTACATTTTCAACCGTTTCGGACAACATATTGCCACAAAGAATATCATGACCGGTGAAACTAGCTACACATTTACGTACAATGTGAACACATCGAATGGTAAGCTGAGCACAGTCACTGATGCGGCTGGAAATAAAGTATTTTTGCTGCGCGATTACACAACACAAGTGAATTCCATTGAGAATACGAAGGGTCAAAAGTGTAAGATACGAATGACTCGAATGAAAATGTTACATGAACTCAGCACTCCCGACAACTATAACGTCACATTCGAATATCACGGACCAACTGGTTTGCTGAAAACGAAATTGGATTCAACTGGCCGATCATATGTTTATAACTACGATGAATTTGGTCGTCTCACATCGGCCGTTACACCAACCGGTCGTGTGATTGATTTGACGTTCGATTTGAGCGTACGCGGTGCCACCATCAAAGTATCGGAAAATTCACAGAAGGAAGTCTCAATGCTCATTCAAGGTTCAAGTGTTGTTGTGCGAAATGGCAAAGCCGAAACGAAAACTACCGTACAAGCCGATGGCAGTACGTTGAGTGTAACACCATGGAATCATGTGGTTAGCATGGAAGCAGTTCCATATGTGCTGTTGGCTGAAATTAATAAACTACTGGGCGAAAGTTATCCGGTGCCATCGAAGCAGAGAGTCGAAGTTGGTGGTGAGCTGGCCAATCGATTTGAATGGCGTTTCTTCATGAAACGTATACAAGCCAAAGGAAAGATACCGAAGGGACAACCAGTGCCAAGCTCAACAACTATTGGCCGCAAGCTACGCATTAACGGCGAAAATATTCTGACTCTGGAATACGAACAGGAAACGAAATCGGTACTTGTGCTTGTCGACGACAAGATTGAATTGCTGAATGTTACATATGATCGTCATGCGCGACCCACATCATTCCAGCCACAGTCGGGCGAATATGCTGAAGTTGACTTGGAATATGATCGCAACGGCCGCTTGACACTATGGAAATGGGGAGAATTGAAAGAAGAGTACAGTTTCGATCGGGGTGGCCGTTTGAATGAGATCAAGTATGGTGACGGCAGTTCAATTATGTACTCATTTAAAGATATGATGACAACGCTGCCGCTTAAAGTGACAACGCCCAGACGCAGTGACTATTTGTTGCAGTACGATAATGCTGGCGCTTTGCAATCGTTGACAACACCACGTGGCCATATCCATTCATTCTCATTGCAAACATCGTTAGGATTCTTTAAATATCAATACTTCTCGCCGATTAATCGTCATCCATTTGAGATTTTGTATAATGATGACGGTCAAATCCTTGCCAAAATCCATCCACATCAATCGGGCAAGGTGGCTTATGTATATGATGTTGCTGGACGCCTTGAAACGATTCTTGCCGGTTTATCGTCAACCCATTACACCTATCAAGATTCATCGAGCCTCATCAAATCCGTGCAAGTGTTGGAGCCTGGTTTCGAACTGCGTCGTGAGTTCAAGTATCATGCTGGCATTTTGCGTGACGAAAAATTGGAATTCGTTTCGAAGAGTTCGTTGGCTGCAGCTCATTTCAAGTATCAGTATGATGGAAACACACGTTTGACGGCCATTGAAATGGACATTGGTGGCAAAGAATTGCCGGTGATGAAGTACAAATACGGCCAAAGTCTTGGCACCTTGGAAACGGTGAGCGATTTGAAGGTAACGCGCAACACTGCCAATCGAACCGTGGTTCAAGATGCCACCAAACAATTCTTGAAAATTTCCGATTTTGATGAGCACGGCCGTGTCAAGAGCGTTCTAATCAATATCAAATCGGCGGATGTGTTCCGTTTGGAATTGGACTATGATTTGCGCAACCGTATCAAAACGTACAAAACGACAATCGGCCGATCGACATCGGTGGACAAGGTGAACTACAATGCTGACGGTCATGTTATGGAAGTGGTCGGCACAAACAACTGGAAGTATGTGCCCGATGAGAATGGAAATATCATCAGCATTTTGGAACAAGGTGATAAAATGAATTTGGGCTATGATACCGGCGATCGTGTCACACATTTGGGTGATGTTGAATTCAATTCGTACGATTCGCGTGGCTATGTGGTGCGACGCGGCGAACAGAAATACCGTTACAACAACCGTGGCCAAATGATTCATGCTTTCGAACGTGACAAGTTCCAATCATGGTATTTCTACGATGAAATGACTCGTTTGGTTGCGATCTACGATGATAAGGGCAATGTCACCCAATTCTACTATGCCAACACAATGACACCGAACTTAGTGACGCACGTTCATTTCCCGAAGGCTGCGAAAACATTGCAACTCTTGTACGATGATCGAAACATGTTGGTTGCCGTCGAAACTGGTGAACAGCGATACTATGTGGCCACCGATCAAAATGGTTCACCGCTGGCCTTTGTCGATAGCAATGGTAATGTGGTGAAGGAAGTGCGTCGCACACCATTCGGTCGAACCATCAAGAACACCAACGTCAATTTGCACATTCCAATCGATTTCCACGGTGGTATTCTGGATCCAAACACCAAATTAATCTATACCGGTAAGTTGAATGCAATTTGAAAATCAATTTTCATCGTTACAAAATGATTGCATGTTTTGTTTATTTTATTTTGGTTTACAGAGAATCGTTTGTACGATCCAACTGTTGGACAATGGATGACACCGCTGTGGGAACCACTGGCAACATCAATGAACTTCCCCACCGATGTGTTCATCTATCGATTCCATAACAACGACCCGATCAACAGCAAGGAAGGAATGCGCTACATGACCGATTTAGATTCGTGGCTTGCGTTGTTCGGTTACGATTTGCATCGCATGCAAGGATCCAAATATACAAAAGATCGTGTGTATCAACCACAAGAGACGATTAAATCATCGTTGCTGGCACCTGATTTCGGTGTAATGTCCGGTTTGCAGTGTATTGTTGAAAAAATTGATGAGAAATTCTCCGACTTTGGTTTTGTGCCGAAGCCATTATTGAAAATGGAGCCAAAAACACGCAATCTATTGCCTCGTATTGCATATCGTCGAGGCGTCTTCGGTGAAGGCGTACTCATTTCTCGCATCGATGGCCGTGCCATGGTCAGCGTTGTCGATGGATCAAATAGTGTTGTACAAGATGTTGTATCGTCGGTGTTCAACAATTCGTTCTTCCTCGATTTGCATTTTAGCATCCATGATCAGGATGTATTCTACTTTGTTAAAGATAATGTGCTAAAATTGCGCGATGATACCGAAGAGTTGCGTCGGCTTGGCGGTATGTTCAATACGACCACGCATGAAATTGCCGATCATGGCGGTGCCGGTGGCAAAGAGCTACGGCTACATGGTCATGATGCGGTTGTGATTATCAAGTATGGCGTTGATCCAGAACAAGAACGCCATCGTATACTGAAACATGCGCACAAACGGGCCGTTGAACGAGCGTGGGAGCTGGAGAAGCAATTGGTTGCAGCCGGTTTTCAAGGCCGAGGTGATTGGACGGAAGAGGAAAAAGAGGAGCTCATTTCACATGGCGACGTTGATGGTTTTATCGGCGTTGACATTCACAGCATTCACAAGTATCCCGAGCTAGCGGATGATCCGGGCAATGTGGCATTTCAACGGGATTCAAAGCGAAAACGACGAAAAAGCGGCTTTCACAAAACCACACAAAGACAACATCGACATGAAACGTGAAATTTCACCAACACTATCATAACACCAGCATCAGCGGCAACAGCAACTGTAACAACAATAAAGTAAATAATACCATAAAACGCATATTTGAACAAAGGTTGACTTTGAAACGAAAAGCAAACGCATACAGTTTTTTTTAAGTAAACACATGACAAAAACATACACACAAACAAAACACTCACAAGGAAAATGGTGAATCTAGTTTCAAAACAATGTAAATTATACTTAAGAATTACAGATAATATGCATATAAATCTATATTATTATTATACTATTAAATGAGTAAAAAAAAAAATGGAATTGTGATAATACTAATCGGACTATTTAAAAAAATGGAAATAAATTAATTAAAAAAAAAAAAATATGTAGCGTCAATTGAGTCGAGCAATCGATTGATGCACGCATTAAAAGACATAGGCACACACAAAACAAGTGAAAAAGATAAAAAAAAAAGAATATGAATACATACACTGACACGTAAAAGTATAAAAAAATGCTAATGAATAAGAATTGATTGAAAATTAGAGGAGAAGCTATCCGTACAAAAAGCCCACAACTAAACCTAAACTATTAAAACAAAAAACAACCAACAAAACAACTAGAATGAAAAAAAAATATATTTGTACTGCATGATTATGAACAAATGATTTGAACAACCACAACAACAAAATTATAGTAAAATAAATATTGAGTGAAAATAAACAACAAGTTTAAATCAATACAGAAATGTTTGTCAATGGAATGAATAGAGGAACAAAACAACAAAACAACAAATGAACTCACTCTACAACATACACATATTCAACTGCTTTATATTTAAGTCTACATACAATTTAATGGATAGTTAGTGTAAGTTGAACACACAACAAATAAGGAGAACAAAAAAAAAAAGAAGTGAAAATTAATGGAGGTATGGTATTCGTTGTTGATATTAATTCAATGAAAAAAATGCACTCCCAAAGAGAAAAACACTCACATAAATAAAACTAAATACTCGCATACGAGTTGAGAGTGTTTCTCAATCAATCGAAATCAAAAAAAAAAAAAAATTGTTAAATTAAACAATCGACTAACAAATCTATTGTTATGTCATACTCACATCACAAATACGTCGAACTGTCCTGATTTATGATGAGTAAATCTGCATCATTGACGAGATAACAAAATCGAACGTAAAAGTACAAACAAAATCATCTGATAAGCGGAAAATGAGTCTGAATCATTCGCCAAATTGATTACTTCATCACCGGTTCCCTTGATCTGACTGAAATCTCCCAGTAGGTGAACAGAATTTTTGTGTAAATATTTATAATGGAAAAAAAAAGAGACGATACGATTTCAACTACCATCATTTGGGCATTCAATTGTTTTCTTTTTTCACTTATTTCTGTCATTTAATCGTGATTCATTTTGAATGTACTTGAATTTGCCTGAGTCATTTTAACACTCAAAAATTGGACAACATTCAATGACTTGTCGCGGTTGAGTTAATTGCCTAGTATATTTCCATTGTAACTAGGCGTTCCAAAGTAAAAATGATGAGCATATAGAAGGCAAAATGATTATTTTAGTATAAAGTCAGTCAATCAATTGTGGCGAATGAGATTTTCCTATGCAGATCAATGAACCGACAAAGACGAGCTGAGAACTAAGTATGAAATTGTGTATATGTGAATAAAGTAAATAAAAAGCGACACACACAATTACAAAAAAAAATAGAGGATGCAAGAAATGAACAAAAAAAAATGGAAAAAACGGTTTTCTTTGATTCCTGGTTTCGAAGCATGGTGTTCAGCAAGAAATAAATGGTTCATGGCACAATATTAGACTCAACTCATCAAACAAAACACAAATCACGTGCATATTTAGAGATTCACAACAACTGGTTTCAATTTGATGCTCAATTTCCACAATCGATCTAACTGGACTCCTGAACTGTCTGTCAGGATATTTGCAATACTCGGTGAATGTTTCTCTTCACTTCAGGCAAATGGCATCGAATTTTGTGCGAACAAAAAATGCAACCAAATGCTGCTTATACCAACCAAAACACACCATGAAACCAAACTACACTCGAGCTTAGTGTATTTTTTAACTCAGATGGGAAGTGTAACGCAAATCGTGCACACATTTCTAATGCAGAAACAAAACAAACATACATGAAGTAAATAATAAATAAGAATTGAATTGGAGATGCGATCGTATATAATTTTTTATGTCAATGATATTAGTTGTTTAAAAGGACGAAGAATGAGCAGAAGAGAAATACTAAAGCAAGAATAGCAATAATATGGTGCTAATGTTCAGTGTGGATCAATTGATGTCCTGCAAAATACATGTGGAGACTGATTCGATTGATCCATAGCGGGCATCCAGCACAATACCATGAAAATTTATGATTAAAAAGCCAAAAAAAAAATACTAATTGTAATGATTGCATGAAACAAACAAAATAAAAACCCTAGGCCATACAAGTAAAGAGCGAGGAAAAAAAAGTAAATAGGAAAAAATAGAACAACACTTGCATTTGTTATATAGGAGAGTGTCACAAAACAAATGTTTCACAGCAAGAACAACATCAACAACCGAACGTGAAATACGCAAATCAACTAATTATTTGACTTAATTTATAGCAATCCAATATTTGTTATTCGATAAGGAGAAGAAAGAGGAAAAGTTAGGCTGATTATTAATATTATTATTAAAAAAAAGAAGAAACAACTGTAAACATCAAATATTATTATGAGATCAAGAATAACGTGACAATTTTTTAAGCAATGCTATTTAAGGACGGAGATAGAAAGATTGCAAGAAAGAATCAACTTAAAGTATGAGATATTACACAAAATTGCACGCAAAGAAAAAGTCTATTTAATAATCATTACGCAGTAAATAAAAAAAACAATAAAACGATTAAAAAAAAAACAACAACATTCGATTTTTTTGATGTAATTCAATTTGAATTTGTTATGATGACCAACTCAATTTAGGTTCGCCTCGCAGATCGATTTTCTATATGAAAGACCATAATGTTGCCAATATGTTTTTTTTTTAACCAAAATGATTATTGGGAACATTACGTGATTCTTGTAATCAGCGTGTAAGTATTGGTTTGAGCGACAAATTCCGAAAAAATAGAAAATCATTACGGATTTATTGAAGAAGAAAAAAATGGCCACGAGTAACGATCCTTGAAAAAGAGAGGAAAAAAGACATTAAGCCGAATGGGCTTATAAACAGGGTAATAAATAAACAAAATCAACGGTAAATCGCATATGTAGATTAAAGATCTGTGCAGGTGCCGAATGAATTTGAATAATGAACGAAACATGGAAAGTGAATGAAAATAGTACGATTTCTAAAAGACTGTCACATGATTCTTTATCTCGAATAAAGAAAAGATAAAACCAAATAGATGGAAATAACACATGAAAAATAGTTTAAAATGCATTTGACATTTAAAAAAAAAATGGTTTTAGTTGGAGGAGAAAATAAGAGCGAGAAAACCAATAGTGCTGATCTAAATCAGCAAATTGGTTTGAATTCCGAATCAGATGGAAACATTTAGCAGTAAATCTGGACAGTTCAATCAAATCAATGGATTTTTAAGTCGAATTCTATCTAGATCTAGCATCTAGGATCATGGACATATTGAATCGTATAAATATATGCGAAAAAAAAAACACACACACACACACACAAACATTATGCAAACTAATGAAAAGCCTACTCGGGACGAGGTTGAGAACTATGAATCATTTCATTTGGATTTTTAGTCAACATGCATGGCATTCGATTGGAAGGACTTCATTTTTCACTTGTAATTATTAAATTAATTGTCTGATGGAGAGAAAGAGAGAGAGAGAGAAATTAATTGGATACTACGATGGCCAGAAAGACAAAAACCCTACATTTAAATTTAGTCACAACAAATTCAAGCAATAATTATTTTAGTGAAGCTAATTGAACGTTTATTAAAGAGAAAGAAATCTATTATGACTGTTTGAGAGGTGAAAAAACAGGAAGCGGAAAACAACAAAAAAAAAAGAACACAACTACTAGCACACACTCACACAAGAGACGTAACCACTTTCATATCCTTCGTCCTTTCTGATTGTATATTTATTGAAGAAATAGAAAGAAATAAACAGCGTTTATATAATTTATTGAACACATGATGATGGAAAAGTATTATACCTGGATGGCAGTAAACAGAAGAAATTTTTTTTTTTAACTGACATAAAAAGAAAATTGTTAGGTTCAACTAATGTTCTTAAGTAGACACTTTTTGTAATGAGTAAAACTCCTTTTTCCACCAGAATCACCCCTCCCAATTAATTGGCCACTAAATAAATATTCGATCTAGATCAACAGCACAAATATACGCGATAGACATATTTATAGTTTAGAAACATTCATCTAACGGCCACAATCCAATCGAAACACGTTTGATTTGAAGAGGAAAAACACTCTTTTTTTTCGAAGTTTATCTGGATCTTAGAACAGATTTTCTTGATCATTTCTTCTTTTTTTTTGGATCGAAACATATTTTCGTCATGATGAAACGTGCACGTTTCAATCGATTTTCACAAATCATATATAACATATGTCCTATATAGGAAGCCACAGAGTTTTTTTTTCTTTCTAAATAGAAGTGGTGTATATAAAAAAAAATCAGTTGTAAATTAAATTCGGATGATCGCCGAAATGGAAAAACCAAAAGGAAAAATGTGGAAATAGTAAAATTTGTAAGACCTAAGAACCGGGTTGTTAATACTGGTAATCAACCGAACCGTTGAAAGAGAGTGTAACCACGGAATTATTTTCAACGGAAGTACGGTTCAAACAATGCATTAACTAAACTACAAGTTAGACGAAAATGCAATGGGATTTTCTTTTTTAGTTGAAAATACAAGCAGACAGAATACCAACAACAACAGCAACACACAGATAAGCATATATGCATCCAAAATGAAATAAAATCGAAGAGAATAACCCTATCATGTAAAATTGCGTTTGGCTGGAATCTGCAAATACACCAACAACCAAATAAAGACAGAAAAAAAAACAAAATCCCCTGACACATTTCGTCGCCAGCGACAACCACATTTGTAAATAATATTATATGATGTATTTCGTAAAGAAAAAAAAAACAAGAAAAAAATATATATAGCAAAACACACCATATTTGTAGTTATTCAAAGTGAACACAAAACAACAACACGAAAAATAAATATGACGTACATCATTGTCGAGAAAAAAAAAACTGTAAATCTTAAGAAACTAACAAAACAAAACAAAAAAGTATTGTAGATGCGTCCTATTGTTGCTCACAGCAATTAGCATCTTTCATTTCTTAATCCAACTCTACGGAATACTTTGAAACAAAAAACCAAAAACTGCCGTCAAATCTATACAAAACGAACAGAAAAAAAATCACACTGAATTTGGAAATTAGCTCCTAAAAAGCCCATTTATTTTGATACGGACACTTTTTTTTTTATTTGCAGGATATAGTTAGCAAACCGACAATTTTTCCCTGGTTTCTTTTTGACATTCCAAATGAATAATTGAATGAATAAACGAAAACAACAACGTGAAACATAATATCAAAACACATACAGTTACAGAAAGGTTGTTCAGCATCTCTTCGGTTTTGACGAACTTAGATTACAAATCTGAATTTCTCCTTTTCTTTTCATTTCCAACAGAAAAAATTAAATGGATAAATTTTAAAAAAATCAAAGCAAAAAAAAAATGACAAAAGCAAATATTTAAATAAAACGTAAGAAATAAAGAGAAAATCATGTAAGTTATGGATTACTTATGAATTATGAAATAAAGAAATAAAAATATGATAAAAATAAAACAAAAAATTGTACGACTTTTCATTTTCATTTTTTTTTTTCCAGTCAACAAACGTATTTTAAAGCTGATTTTTGCAGGTGAACGGAATCAAATATGAAAAAGAGATCAAAAATGAAATGAGAAGAAATATCGATGGTTTGTTGCGAATCTACAAGAAAACTTGAATCTGTTTGGTTGAATGATGTGTGGAACAATTGAAAAGAATTTCATTCTAATTCAATATAGGTGATGTACGTAAAATTCAAATGCCATTTGATTTCACATTGATTGAGGTGAGTATCTTCTTCTATGCGATGAATAAGAAAATATCTATGAAACCAATATTACGGTGTATCAAAATTACAGTACGATAAAGAGCTTGATTTCGTGTTAATTACAGATTCGTCAGAAAGTCTTCAAAACCTTTTTGTGTTTGGCTGCTTTTTCAATAGATTGCGCCATGATCGCCATTTGGGTTCCAATGCAAAGTTTCTCATTCCAAATAGTTCGACCATTTTTCGACGAGTTTTGATGTTTTACTCGACCAAACCTCAGCGCCATCTCGTGCTAGAAACATATCTGCAAATAATTTGGTTTTCTCTGCGGCGCATCATTTATGCACCACAATTGTGATGATATTTCTGACAAATCATCAATTAAAACAAATAAAACATTTGAAAATTGATGGCATTCAATTTAAAAGCAAATGTAAAAATATTCAGCTGATAAGTTATCGATATGCAAAAGATACAATTGTGATCGGTTTTCGAATCTGTCACATTGCTGAATGTGTCATTGATGTTTGTGCATCGCCCACTAGCCACTAGCCGCAATGAACAGCAAAAGCTTAAGAGTGTGTGAAAGAAGTGCGTTCAATGTAGCATTGAAACTGAACGGCACCATTTTTCGGTCGGATTTATGAACGACATGAAGTGAGCACAAAACGGACATATACATACAGAGAACAATTGGAGAGAAGTAAAAAATAAAGTCGCATTGAAACGACAAGAAGAAACAAAAATACAAGAAATCTTCGATTTGTTTTAAAAAGAATTCGGAAACGAAATTGAAATTCTTAATGTTAGCCAGTGTAAAAGTGTGTTGATGCAAACGAAACAAGCGAGCAATTTGCGATAAATTGGTAATTGAAACAGGCATTATTTGATAGAATTTGTCATGAATGGAATTGTGTGAAATTTGCAAAAAAAAAAAAAAAAATCGGCTTGCACATTTTTTTTTGGCGTAAGAGAGCGAGAGAATAAAGCGGCCAAGCCGAAAGAAGTCCAATTAAACAACAAAAGTGTCGATCGAATGACGGAAAAACTGCAAGGGTTCTAATCGATTTGCGTTTTTTTTTTATTCTTTTCGTTTGTGACTGATTTATGCAAAATTGACAAAGAATACAAATTAATGATAAATAAATAGAATGATTCGAGTTTTGGTGGTGAAGATGTTTTGTATTAAGGTGTGGGTAAGTGCGTTGTTCAATGCGACGAATAAAATGACTACAGTTGAACAGCAAGCATGCACAATAGTTTTGCATAGATGTCGAAATGAATGTTGTTTTAGTGATTATGAGCGAAAGAAGCAGAATACGAAGAGAAAGAATGTTGGAGAGAGAGATTTTGATTGTGAGTGAGTGCGTGAGTGAGTGGGAATGGCGTAAAACGGTGTCTATATGTGTATATGAATGTGCTGCGGTGAATGAACAAATCAAGAGCAAACGCTAATTTTCTTCTTTCTCTCGTAAGCATAAGCAAATTTTGCCAACATGCTGATTTGATATGATCTGCTTCAGAATTTTTGTCTATTTCGTTACTTTTTCCAACTTTCACTCGACACTATCGTGCTATACTGGCTGCACATAAACACTGAGAAAGTGCAAAGCAGCAATTCACCGCTAAATTCGAATCGGAAATCCATTCAATTTCAAAGCCGATTAAATTATTCAACCTGTGATTATCTTCTTATTTAGGTTTAAGTTTACGGAAACGCTGCGTAAACTCATACACAAACACACACAACACACACACACACACACAAAAACAACAAAACGCAATAACGCGACAAGAAGGCAAATAGTTTCGCTGGTTCACACAATCTACTCGGTTTTTTTTCTGTCAATTTTTTTTTTTATTTTGGTCTTCAATTGAACCCATTGCTGTTATCGAAAGACAAACATGTCGACAGTACAGCCGTCACAACCCCAACCGCAATCACCTGATACAACAAAAAAGGTTTGCTCGGATGGAGAAGACTTTTCAGACACAGCCAACGAAACGGGCACATTCGAGGTACGTGTTCAAGTATTTATATACGGTTATTGTGAGTTCTTCGATCGGTGTTTAACAGAGAACAACATCAAAAAAAAAAAAAAAAACAAAACAAAATTATGAAAAAGTGGCAAAAAACAAATTCATTTCATTCAAGTAGTTCAATCGAATATAATGACTCGTTAACACTTCTGATGTCGTATGAAGTTCCATGATGATACAAGCGAGAGAAAGAGAGGGAGAAAGACAGAGTTCGCGACTATCAATCAAAGTGCAAATCTGTGTAGCCTCTGCATGTTTTGTGTTTGTTCTTTGAATTCGACGATATGTCATCATTTTCATCCGATTGACTACTTGGGCATTTTTCGTGTCATTTTGTGAATTTACGAATATACCGTCACCGACAACAAAATCAGCATAGTGATATTAGTCGACGTTCAACATGCGCACAACCAATTGATAATTATTTTTCTTTCTTCTTCATTACAATTAAAATGTTCTAGCATGAAACTATAAGTGGCATTTTGAAAAGCAAACAAACGGTACAATCATCACAATGGATAAGTGAAAAGAAAATGCGTAGTGCAAAACGAGAGCATTGTTGATTGATTCGCTTCAATCTACTGCGTTTCCGCTGCTATGATTTTTCCGCTTTCGAATTTCAATATAAATATAATCACTAATGAACAATGGATTGCATTGGCATTTTGTAATGGTTTCATTACAATTTGCCGAACAATTGTTTTGCCAATTTTTCAAATGGGGAGACGATGATAGCGAATTTGCAACTGGCGACTATAAGCGAGAGATTTTTTCGCTGTGCTTCGCATCAACAAGCGATTTTAACTCATTTTCACTAACGATTTTTTTTTTTTTATTTCTCTAAAATTCTATCAAAATCATCAGCTATGCTCGGATGCAAACAAAACGGCCACCAGTTCATCACACCAAGATTCAGAGTATGACACGGCCAGCGATTCACAGTCATCGGACGAAGCGGATCCGTTGCATAAGGCTGAACCGGTCGGAGACTCGGGCGGCGGTGACAACGCTAACGATGGTCTAATTGATTTAGTCAGTGCTAAAACGGGCAACATGCAGATCACAGATGACATTCCAATCGAGGAAAGTCGCAAATTATCGCGCAAAGAAAATGACCTGAACGATGACGCCGATGGCGAAGCGGACGATGACGAAGAAAGGTATTTTATTTCGAAACAAAAATGAGAAAATCAATTGAATCTGAACAAAAATTTCAATTATTCGTTTAGTTCAAATCGTATTGGCCGAAGAGGCAGCCGTAGCGGTGATTCCGAAGATGACGACGATGACGATGATGACGACAGATCCGATGACGATATAAGAAGTGATGGTAAGACAAATGACAGTTCTTTCGTCTTTTTATCGTCGCTTTCTTTCGTTCTTTCTTCGAAACGGTATTGGACAGTTAACCATTTACTAATGCCGATTATTTGCATAACGTTTGGAATTGATAGTTAAGTTTTGCAGTGAACTCATTTTCTTTTCTTTTTTTTTCTTCTTTTTTTTTTGCTTTGATAACATGTAAATTTGTTCTCTTTTAACTATGTCAAAATGATATCACGAACAATGTTCCGAAAACAGCATGACTAAACACAAGCATTCTACTCTATGTCGATTAAATCCGTTCAACGATTGATTGTGTACAGTTCTATTTATAAATCTTCTTTATAACGAATTATTTGGTGGCAGAGTATTTTTTTAAATTAGGATAAAACTCACACAAATTGCATATAGCATCTGTATTGAAACAAAAAATGAAAAAAAAAAATGCTGAACATCATTCGCCTGCATCAAACACCTGCAAAAAAATTATTTTAGCATTTTTTGTACAAATGGCTCTACGCTATTGCGAAAAAAAACTCACGCTTTTCACCTATCTTACTTGTTTTCAATCGTATGTGGTTTTTTTTCACTTTATTCCAAAAATCGAGGCTCAATATGTTGTCGTTAAAATGGAATATTCAATTAAATGGAGTAGATGTCTGGAAATAGTGTCTCAATTTCGGCACAAGTTGTTATTTTTTTTTAAATTGATACCGTTATTTTCGCACCCTGTTACTATCACTGGAATATCCAATTTTATTGTAGGTGAATTTTGATTCACCATAGCTTGCAGACGGTTTGTGTCCAGTTGACCGTTGTCAGTAATCTAAGCAAAAAAAAATCCTAAAAATCTTGTCTCGGTTTGTGATATGGCATATAGTATTACCGATGGTTTTGCAGACAACAGACAACATACAAATCTCTCCTGTTTTTTAGTCAGACTTACATATTCGTTCTGTGAAGAAATGATTCAATTGAATGAAATTTAATTTATGCGAAAGGAAAACAAAGATTTGATTTTTCACTTACAGACAACCTGTGTCTTAGATCTTGAATATCAATATTATTGAGACCCGCTTCTTTCCTACATTTGTTGATGAGCTGTTGACAAGAGACATTGATACAGTTGCTATATGTTATTAGTACGCAAATTTTTTGAACAAAATTGTATATCGCTCATTGATCAAAGCCAACGAAATATACGTAATTCCATTCTTGTAAAATTCTTTTTATATAATAACTCGAAACTATAGAAATGTTCTGATTCAGAACTTTTGACGTTTGAGTTGATAGTACCGTACTCGTTTCGTTGGATAATATTTGCGCGTTTTTAACATTGCAAATAGTGATACTCATCACGATAAAGATTTTCATGTTGATCATCTGGAAGAATGTTCCGAAATTGGTTTGATGCAACCAATTCAATTAACGTACTCTTTGGAAAGCGGACGGTTTTTATACTCCAAAAATCGTTTTGTATTGATTATTTCGGCCGAATTTATTATAGAAATCAGAAAGAATAAACATTTCAATAAGCAGAAGCATGTCTGTGCGTCTAATTAAAATTATATTTCCAAAATAGAATATGGAGCATGAAGATTTTGGCTTCGCTTTCTTGATGTCATGGCTAGACTTTGATAAAACACCAAAGAGTAAATCTCATGGATTTTCCAAACGCACGCAACAGACAAACAGACAAACATTCAATTTTATTTATATATATTCATTAGGCATAATTAACTAAAAATTAGCAACAACATGCGAAATAAGTAGGGTGCTCGATTACTTTAAAATAGTTTATTCAAAGTGGTGAATAAAAGTCAGAGCCTGAATGTAACTGATCATTTCATAAATTTTCTCACTGAATTTAGATGAAAGTGAGAGCGATAACGGAAGTATTATATTGGACCTGGAGCGTCAGCGTGGCGATGGTGAAGAAGAGCAAAATGAAGATTCAAAGAAAGTCGACGACGACGAAGATCGTAGCAATCCACAATACATACCGAAGAGAGGTGTTTTCTATGAGCATGATGACCGAACTGCCGATGATCCGTATGTGCTTTATTTTATTTCAAATAAATATCATTGAAAAAAAAAGCGAGAAAGAATTTTCAATAAAAATAATGAATTGATTCCATAAACATCGTTTTTTTTTTTTCACAAACAGAGATGCAAACAGTGCAGAACAGGAAAATGGTGATGAAGAGCAGCCACCAACGCCAGTCCAAAAGAAAACAACAAAAAAGACGACGGATCGTTGGACGCACGATTTCTACGATGAATCGGAGCAGGCACCGAAATCCCGTGCTGAACTGGTCAATTCGTATGGCTATGATATTCGCAATGAAGATGGGCCGCCGAAAACCAGACGCAATCGTCGTTACAAGTAAGCGAACAGCGACTGTTTGAATTTTTCCATTGTGATAAATTTTCATTTGTACCGTTTTTTTTTAGCCGCGGTCCAAGCAAATACACCCGTAAATGGGAAGATGAGATGGCGTATGCTAAGCAAAATTCGGCACCACCGCCAAGAAATCCACGCCCGGAAGATTTTCCAGAGCTCGGTTCAAAGGGTGAACGACGCCGGCCCAGTCATCATGAACGTGAAGAAAAAGAGAATAAAACACGGCAAAATTACCAGATCGATGACCGAAACGATGACAACCGAAACTATTCGAGTCGGAAGAGAACGTCAATGCGGCAAATCAGTGACAGACGTGATAGTGATCGACGTGACAGTGACAGGCGCGACAGTGACCGACGTGACAGTGATAGACGCGATAATTCCAGATCGCGTCATCAAAACGACCGGTATCCATCGAGTAAGAGTTGCATTCAAATCGTTTCCTTCTTTTGTCTTGAAATAATATTCAATTTGACTGAGAAAAAAAAACTGAATTTTCTCTAAAAATGTATTTTTTCGCGATTTTAGGCCGTGGAAACCGAAACGATGACCGATCGGATGATCGACGAAGAAATATGGATAAGGGCTTCAACAAGGGTCGTGGCCGCAGCACGATGGAATTTAAAAATCAAAATCGTAACAAAAACCACGAGTATGAAGGCCGTGGCGGCGGCGGCGGTGGTAGTGTGCATAACCGAAATAACAGCAGCGGTCATTCGGAATCTCGAAATCAACAGCACCATCATCATCACGATGATGAGCACGTGGAATCCGTTAGTTTCACAAATTCAAAGCTTAATAACAATTCGAATCGATTTTCCAACGTCGAATACTCGAATGTTGGATCGATGCAGGGTCGAGAATATGGCATACAAGAGCCAACAATGGTAATTTCTTAAATTCAATCCAATTAAATTCTACAAAATACTGAACAAGGAGAAAATTTTGAATGAAATAAATAAAAATCGTTACAGCAACAACAGACACAAAATCAACAGTCACAATCTCAGCAAAGGTTCCAATTAGTTTCCAACGAAATACCACATAATTTAGAGTCCGGCAATCAAATGTCTAACCAACAGAATTCCCAAAGTACTTTGCTAACAACGAACCATTCATTGCCTATCTCATCGAGCGTAATCGGTGAGTGCTGTTAGAAAAACATGGTCAATTCTGGAATTGATATGAAATTGGGCGATTTTTTTCTTGTTCAATTTTGTAGCAACACCTGGAGCAGCTCCTCTGAATCAGCAAGCATTGCACGGCCAAGCCATAAATCAAGTACAACAGCAACAGCCAATGGGACACATTCAAGGAGCTGGTAAACTTGATTGATAATACACTATCGTAGTTGTTGTTGCCATTCTTTTCCCCTTCCAAACTCTTAGCGGTTACAGTTTCCTTTCATCAAGTATTTTTTTTTTCTTTCACTTCATTTTGCCAAAGCTATTTAAAACCAAAATAAAAAATTGTTGATTTGTACATATGTAGAAATTTTGTTTGAACCCAATCCCATTTTTGTTTTAATTATTCAGAGATGACTTCAGCGCACCTGAGTATTTGTGTTGTTTTTGTTTTTGTTTTTGTTTTTTCCTTCGTTATACTTTACCTTTTTGGTGAAAAAAACTTTGTAGCAATATTTTGTGTAACATAACAAAGAACAGTTTTTGAAAAACCACATTTAGATTAGTAAAATATGAAGAAAAAAATCCCCAAAAGTAGAAATTGCGTAATATTGCGAAATTGAACAAATGCGCGTAATTACTAGGTGCATATGACCACACAATGCGAATACCGGGGGCAGAAAATGTAAGCTCTTCTTCGTTATATTACACAAAATATTATTTAAAAAAAATCCTGGCCAAAAAGCTAGAGTAGAACGAAAAAACAACAAAAATACTCGGGTGCGCTGTAGCGCACTTGGGTGCGCTATAGTCATCTCTGTAATTATTTGTAGTCTTTTCTTTCTAGTTCTATTCTGTTCTGATCACCTTGTAAATTTTCTTTCTTTTGCATGCATTTTTTTTGGTTTCAACTCACTGTCACCCCTTTTTTCCCTCCCTAACACACACGTTGTAATTATCCCCAATGGAATTGTTCAATATAGCGAATAACGCAAGTAATTTAACTAAAGGTCATGTGAAACGCTACTCAAATCAACGGCAACGAACTGGTTTGGAAGCGCAAACGCAACCACCTCAAGCGCAAACCCAACAATTGCCCATGAACGTGGTGATTCAACAACAGCCTCAACAACCGTCACAACCACCACAAAATCCACATCAAACCAGTGCACATCAGACACCTCAACCGAACGTCGTGCCGAATGTTTCAGCACCCACACAGTTTCAACCAAACTATTTCCCGAACGAATATCCAGGTAAGAATAGATAGTGTTTGACTGCAGAAAAGACTCAACTGTTTTCTTTAATTCATTATTGATCAACATTTCGTTCCTATCTTTATTTCAGCAATCAATCAATTGTACGTGTCTGATATCAGGTATGTAATTTGAAAAAATAGAATTTTTTTTTATTGGTCACTATTGCCGCCGACAGTCTACTGCTTTGTTTTATTGAACTATTGTTTAAATCGACTAAATGTTTGTTTGGTATTTTTGGAACAGACAACCACCATCAGGACCAGCGGCTGGATACTTGCCGCAAGGAGCACCACCACCCACGGTTGCCGCACCCGTTGGTGTACCTCAGATGATGAATTTTGTATCCGCTCATGCGCCTATGCAACCAGCGCCCGTCGTTCAACCCGTCGTTCCTAATGCTCAAGTCGTTGCACAGCCACCCCAAGGCCAGTATCCAGCGTATCCACCATACGCTGGCGTACAAAATTATAACTCAGCTGTATGTTATTCGTACTTGACAAATTCTTCTTACTATGTCATATGAAACTAACGGTTGAATTTATTTTTTTTCCTGATCAGAGCGGTATCACATACTACGCACCACAAACACAACCTCCACCGCGACCCATATTGTCACAGAGACGCCATAAAAATGCGATTCCAATTATGGCGCCGCCAGAACGAAGCAACAAAAATGCTCATGGCAGCCGATCAGGTGGCCATGGCAGTGGGCACAATCCCGGCAGCAATGACAGCAACAATAACAGTGATCAACAACAGGTACACATTTGACGAGTCAAATTATTGGTGAAACATGAACATATTTTTCGTTCATCTGTAAATGGAAAAAAAATGCCAAGAAAAAGATTTAAATTTTAATTTCAATAGAAAAAATTAACTGGAGCCAAAAAAAAAAAACCGTAGAAAAAATTGATTAATTAAAATTGTAGAGTATCGAAAATAGAAGACATAAATGCAAACTTATTGACATTATAAATTTCATTGCACAGGCGGCAGCACAACAGTCGATGGATAACTCGGCGGAGAATATCGATCACATTTTGGATAATATGTTTGTACAAAGGCCGCACCCATATCAGTCTGGTCTAGCTGGTAATTGAAAATGCCCAACCTTGAATTTTGTGTGTGTGTGTGTGTGTCGCAATGAGTAGGTAATTAATGGTTTCTGTTTAATTAAATGTTTGCAGAGTCACCGGCAGTGGCACGAAAGGACTCAACACCACCGGTTGACGGTCAAAATGTCAGTGGAAATTCATATTCACAAGAGCAAAATGTTCATGATTCGGCACCCACATCGTCATTACTGCAAGGAAAAGATGATACGGGAAATCCAGATCAATCGGCAGCATCGTTTGGTGATATGAACATTTCAGTTGCCGTAAGTGAATTTGACGAGAAAAAAAAAAATATTTCGAACAAATTAATGTGGAAAGAAACAATGGGAGACGTTTTCTAAACTATGAATTTTGATTTTCAGATTCAGGCGAATCAATAGGTTCAACGAGGACATCAAGTAAAGAAAAAAAAAAATTGAACAATAAAATGAGATTTTGCAACTCCAGAGAGAGCAACCATTTGTAAATACTATTGAATTGAGAACGCTGTAATGAACCTCGCAGGGAACAAACGAAAAATGAAATGAATTCACACTCCACACATACAATTACACAGACATATTAGAATCCCACACACCGACCATTCATCTCTCACAAATAACCGAAAAAACAATGGCCGCGCAACAAATGGCCGATTGTATTCAAATTACAATTTTATTTAAAAAAAAATTCTTCAATTTTTATCACATCCGCATAAAATAACTGCCCGACTCTAGCACGTAATAGCATTATAAACCTCATTTTGGCCAGCATTTTCATGATGATTTCCTCTTAACTTGGCCCATTTTACACAATTTAAGTGCTTAAATTATTATATTGCATAGTTTTTTTTCCGCTTGCATTCATCGTAAGTGACATATTAGGAGTGTCAAAAAACAACAACAAAACACACAACTGAATGCATAATTCAAAGACTTTCAAATTTTTTTAGAATTATCACTAAGAATTAATAAATTTATCAATTCCGCATGTTGTTTGAGAATGACAGCAACAGATTTATATGAGCGTCATGTAAATATAAAAAAAACAAATCATTTGATTGTATTTTTTTAACACAACAAGAAAAGAAAAAGAAATAACAACTGAAATCAAATGAAAAAAAAAAATGATTCTGTAATGCACGCGCATAAATTCTCATTTTTTTTTAAAGCAATTGTTTGGAATTCAGTTATTTTTAGATTTTGTTCAGAGAAACCGTTAGAGAAGAACGCATACAATATAGATACAATAATACTATGTAAAAATTGATAAGAAACAAAAACGTTATTAATATCCCACAACAACAACAACAACAACAACAACAACACAGAACATGGAAAATTCAAATGAAATTATATAATAAAAAAAAATGGCTTGACAACAGCGAAAATTGGTGTGTTTTTTTCTTCTTCTTCTCAATTTCCCTTTTCATGCCGAGCAGAAAGAGCGAGGAGAAGTCGCTTTTGACAGTTACCATGGGTTACGCGTCAAAATGTAAACAAATTCGAACGCATATCGTGATGATGAATGTTTACAAATATACAATTGTTTTTTTTGTTTGTTCCGATGTGTGTAGTTTTCGCTGACGATGACTTCAAAAAGTACAATAAATCACGCGTCTGTGGATGTTAACCAATTAAAAGATGTGGTCGAAACGAAAAAAGTATCGCGAAAGTCGAGCGAATCAAAGCACAGCAAAGGTAGACGAAGTCAAAGCTTGGATCGTGTATTGGACGATAATAGCGGCGATTCACGAGAAGAGCGCCGAAATCGAAGGCAATTCATGCATTTGGTAAAGTATAAACCGTCGAAAATTACGATTTGAATATTTTATGACGATGATTTTCTATGTTCCAAAATTAGATTTCGGAAAAAAATGAGCAAATCGAAAAGTTGATGAAACGTGTAACGACATTGCATTCGCTGAACAATGAATTCGCCATTGAACATGAAAAACTTGAAACAGAATTGCAAGAATTTCAACAACGTTGCGCCGATTATGAAGCGGAACGTGAAAAAGGCTGTGACTCATGCCGTTCATTGGCCAAACAAAATAAGGAACATCAATTGGAAATCGATCGGCTGGCCAACGAAAGTGAACAGCTCGTTAGCGATATTAATATGATGAAAGTGCTCATTTATCGATTGAATGTACAATTGGAAAACTATCAAGAAATGCTTCGCAAACAAGATAATGATGGAAAACCATCAGCTCGCACACGAAATCACCACCATGCTGGCCATGAGACAATTTCGACTATCAATTACGAAAATATTACGTCAATCGATTGGGGCTGCGTGCAGTCACATGTTTTAGCACCACTTTTAAATGCATACCAAGAGACAATTCGAGAGAAAATGAATTTAGTAAAGCAGTATGAGGCAGAGCTGAATCAAATGACCGGGCGAATAAAGGATATTTTGACCGAAAACGAAGCACTTTGTACACAAATCGAACAAATGAAACAATACAGCGATACGTGGACAGCGGAAAAAGTTCAACTAAAGGCACAACTGGACGCATGCAGGTGAATATGTGATTGAAAAAACCGCCGAAGGGCATTTTTTTCCCAAAAAATTGTTTGAAAAGAGTGTTTTTTCATGAAATTCCTCCGTGATTGATTTGTGATAGAGCGAAGTATGCTGTGGAGATCTGATCAATTTTTCCCAAATAATATAAACAAGTCTCGATTTTTTTTTAATTAGAAAGAAAGCCGAGATTCATTCGAAATCAGGTGATTTGGCCAAGGAAAAATTGATGGAAGTGATGCGTTACTATGAGCAAAAGATCCAGTCGCAATCGATTGACATCCAACGTTTGCAGGAAGCATACGGCCGTTTGAAGGGTGAACAAAGCAATTGCAAGACGATGCATGAACAACCCGAATTGGTTATTGAACGGTTGAAAGAATGTCAAAGGTAATGAGATAATAGCTACGAAAAAACCCGAACTATTTGAGAAAAAAAAGAAGCGTTACATAATTTCAGATTGTTTGACGAGACGAAAGCGCAATATGAAGTGGAGAAAAACAAATTGAACGACGAAATAAATGCACTGAAAGAAATGAACCAGAAAATCGAAGTTGAGAGCCAAAGTTTCAAGCTAAGAATAACGGAGCAAAATTCGGTGATTGATTTACAAAAAGAGAAACTTGGGTAATTCATGTCATCTCGTTTCTTTGTTCATTTCCCCCATGTTGTACTTGTACAGAAATGTTAAGTTTGTCTTTGAGATAAAAGCTAATCCGACAGACGTCTTCTTAATGGTTTATTCCAGAAAATTCGAAAAGAAACTAGAGAAATTACGTCATAAGTTTTTGCGTTTGCGACAATCGCGTGAGGTAATAAAAAGCCGCTTGCGAAGTGCCATAACCTGGAATCGAAAGATTGAAGCAGCCGCAAAGACAATATCCTGGCAAGATTTGCGTAAAATCGAACAAATGCTGATCCAAAAAGATTATCAACTGCAACAATTTCGCATTCAACATCAAAATGAAATGGAAAAACTCCAGCGAAAATTGAGCCGGCGAGACGAATTGCTGCGTAAATTGCTGCTAAACAAAGTGAAGAAGAAATAATTTGCACAAACATATAATTTATATCGAACCATATTCAGGGATAATAAATTGATGCGACAATTTGATTGGTGTTTGAGCGTTTTTCTACGTTTTTTTTTTTTTTGTTTCTATTTATTCCATTCGATCCACTAAATGCTATTTTCTTGTTTCATTAGTTGCAGTCGACATATATATCGAAGTGCACATTGCTATAAAAGACACCCTCGACGGATACGTATGTTGTTGGTTTCGCCTCACCCTATATTTTATCGATTTCACAATGTACGCGCGTATTGTGTGTGAGAGAGCGATGATGGCAGTAGATTCAATGAAGCCGATATTCAGTTCAACACACTGGCACACACTCAACGTCCCTGCTTGTAGTCCATTTCAAACATAATGGCAAGGCACACATATACACACTCAGTCATTCACATACACACACACACACACACACGCGAGCGCTCACATTTACACACCGATATGCCATGAAATCGCTAGCCAAGTGAATGCCGCCTGAGTTCCTCCATTTAACAACACATCGTTGTTGACATGAATTAAACCGTATGTATCCCAATTGAAAGGGCTTCCTCAAATGCACATACATGTATTTTATGCTCCGCTTGTGTACGCTGTCACACAAATACATTCGAACATACGGCGTAGCACATGCATTTCCATTGAAACTTATTAGAATTTGTGCACACACCAACACACACACACACACACTCACTCTTTGACAATTGAAAATAGATGGCATGAAAAACCCTCAGTTTGCGTACACACTTGATGCAGTACATTCAGGATTATATTCAAACAAACAGTAAAAATAGAACTCTCTCTCTCTCTGTGTATATACATTACATCTGCAACATTTAGCGAAATTGACAGAGATAACCAACGAAAAACCCAATTTCTGGACAATTCAGTTGGGTGGAAAATGTCAAATTGAGACATTTCGTAACAAAAACAAAAAACTATTGAACAAAAAATCCTAAAAACTAAGTCATTCAAAAATAGAAAAATGTAGACATTAAGAAACTATAAGTCTAGAAAATCCGTGTAAACATTCGTTTAGTTCAATTGTGAATTATTTCCTTTTTGGTCACAACATTTTAGTAGAATTATGTGTGTGTGTGAAAATAAGTGAGAAAAATTTGCTCGCCAATCGTGCAAGCAAGTGATTTGATACCAAATCATTCAAGTGCCAATATGTTTTAGTGAAAATTGATAAGCTGACAGCAGCCATCAGAGGGTAATAAAATTATTCTGTTTGATGTGTTAACAGGATATTTTTCCTATTTAAGATTGTATTGAAATCGGACAGGCTCAGATGATCCAGTGATAAAGTGAAACGCAAAAAAAAAATCAAATGTTCTGTAATTAATGATTGTGTATGAAATGGACGATAGTGTCGTTCAGTTAGGAATGGAAACGATGATAGTCATCAGCATTTGTGTTTGATGTACTGTGTTGATCCAGAGCACATTGTTTTTGCTTGGTCTGTCATCCGTGTTCTTAGTATGAAAGACGGCATTGATTGATATCTTGAAAATTCGGATATCTTAATTTTTGTCTCACTGATTTGCATCCACAACGATGCACTTATTGCACATCCCGTTAGTTCATTTTCATTTTAGGCCCTTTTCCTTGTTCGATTTTTGCGTGCGTGTGTGTGTATGCGGTGTATATGGTGTGTATGCAAATGTGTGCTGTGTATTGATGTAATCAATTTCAAACAGCGAACAGTGGTCGAATTACAAGCATAAAGTGCACATTTTCACCGATGATTCATATGTTCGTTCGCATTACGAGGGAACGACGGAAGTACCAGTGCGTTTTTGTGTATATACGTTCACATTGTTCGGCATAAATACTCGGTGCGGGTGTATAGTTTGAACCGTCACGTCGTCACTATAATGCATCGTATGAATGTGTGCTATTTAAAATCGGTGTCGAGTGCTTGCTGAACTTACAAACAAAAATACGTTGAAATTTATGCGTGAACCTTTCTTCGTCATATTTACGCCCATTTGCACGCATTCGGAAAATATAGCGTCTCGATGGTATTACACGAAGTGGTTTTAATGACGGTTTCGGTGAAAAGTTTTCATTTAGCACAGAGCGCGTGCTAATCACACACATACACACACACACACACACACACCAAACGCCCTTGTAATTTTCATTTAGTACTTTTATGTCATAATTTCAGCTGACAGAGCTGAACAACATATGGAGAAACACCGCTGCCGGTGTTAAAAATCCAGTTAGATTTGCTTCTACTACGGAATTCATATTGGATTTTATTATGCTCCAAGTTTTCGATCTAAAATGTAAAAACGCGATAAAGAATCAGAAAAAAAGTGATAAAGACTCAGCGCTACATTTTTTTGTAGTTATTCATAGAAGAAAAAAGGTTGGAATTTGAATAGAAAAAATGAGATAAAGAAAGAAAAGCATAAAGAGTTCTGCACACTCCATTCAAGCACACTTATAAAAATCGTTATAGCCTGCAATGCGTATTGGTTTGAAGTGTCTTGCTGCAGGCTTCCACATTCAATTGAAAACCGGCATTGCTCTGCTGCATGAAGAAGCGGATTGAAATCACGAGCATAAATCCTAGTTTTGCGGTCAAACTGATTCCGTATCATAGAAAATGATCTTAATAGCGATCACATTCAATCATCTACGTAGGCGAAGTGAGGAAACAATTCAATTAGGATGTATTTAGATCATGTGCGAGTCTAATTCAAATTTCCTTTGCTCAACTTCTGCTACTGCTTCATACCGAAACCGGCTCCATTCGAACACATTACTTCAAGTCAAATGTTTAAGAAGGGGGGAAAAAATATATGATAACGTTATAGAAACCTATAATTCTATTTTATTTTTCGAAAAATAAAAATAAAGCAGCACTCGGTCGTTTGACAACTTGTTTTGACTTTATTAACTGGTTATTTAATTACTTGACTCTCGAACTATTTAGTATTGCTATGAATAAAAACATCATTATTCATTGGAACTGTTATACAATAATTCATAACACGTCCAATAACATGTAATTAATGCCGCTACGAAGAACACTCTAGAGATCTTCAAGTTAAGAAGATCTTTTAAAGCATCGAATGAATTCGTTTGAGTGAATTCCAGTAGAATTTTATTCGGTGGCATACCTTTGACATAAGCTGATGCTGAAACTAGCAAACAAACAAAAAAATACCTTTCAATGAAAATGACTTGAAATACTAATGATATAGTCAAGCATATGTATTAGTCACCCGTCAATTACATTATTTCAAGTCAAGCCGATGATGTTATCACCGGTAATTTTTCATCTGAAGCTGTGATTTACATCAACTACACGATAATTCTCACGAATAAATTGTGATAAGCCATTGCATTCAAATTATAACAAACGACCGATTCTCGAAATGTGACGAACGAAAGAAAAAACAACGGTCAAATCTTCTAAGAATAGATGTGATTTGAATGAATTTGTGATCAGTGTGAGTGTGTGTGTGTGTGTGTGTGTGTGTGACCATGGCATGATTAGAACAATTGCATACTAAGCGCACATTTCAAAACTTAAATTTGAATAAAATATTATCATTAGAGAAAATGCTTCTGCTGCTATCGGAGCATGATGCATTATGTCATATTTGGCAATTGAAAAAGAAACTTCAAAAAAGTAAATCTCGAATGACATTTGTGAATCGGATTTCACTGAATCAGTTTTTCTCTTGAATTTCTCGCAAACCAAGCGTTGAGCGACCTTTTTATTCGACGATAATCTATTCGCAAATATGAGTTCAACTGTTTGTTTGTTTGTTTTTTTGTCTACGACATAAGTTTTAGTTTAACCATTTGAATTTAATTTCGTTTCAAGTTTCTTCAATTCCTTCCATCGAATTATCTTGATCGAAATGAGCAAGCGAAAAAAAGCAACCGACTCAGCTCGCCAAAATGAATACCAGTAAAATGTTATGTCCGCATATGGTGAATGTGCCATTTGTGTATGACTTTGAAATTGTTGTTGCCTAGTGCAGGGCAGCATCGACAGCATCACATTCACCGATTGTTGCCTACAAAAACTGGATCCGTCTGTTTTGCCTATGCAATTTCTCTTCGCAGCATTCGAAACAAAAGAATACTTTCTTTTCAACTACAAAGGAATCGTCATTTTCATTGGAAATGTTCATCTGCATGCAACAGAGCAGTAACTCCGATTACCGATTACCGATGCTTGCTACGTGAATTGTGGTTTTTGTTTACGAATTGCAGCGCTGGCTTTCAAGCCGATTTTGGTTTCGGTTCCGACTTCAAATTGCATCTAATGCTCGTCCATCGGTTGCGAGTGCGAGAGTGAGTGCAATGAATGTTAATAACCTTTAGACTTATGCATCAAGAACTCACTCACTCCAATTTTTTTTGTTTCGTATGTAGCGGTAAATAAGCAAAGAGTGATCGTATGGTTGAAATTGACTGCATTGTTTTGTTAGTTGCTTTGGCTTTGGTCAATTCTCGCTTCTTTCTCTTTCTCGTTCTCTCTCTCTCTCTCTCTCTCTCTCTCTCTCTGTTACACCGAGTCGATGATAAATACAATGTGTTTGAGTTAAAAGCGCTTCATCATCTCATGGGACGCGCACGGATACACACTCAAACACATGCACCGGTGCCTGACAGTAAACAGTGTTTTGTACGCGCTTACTCTCTCAATGCGATGGTTCATTTTTCGTGTTCGCCTCGGCTCACTATCAGTACTTATTTCCAACTTACAACTAACTCTGTCGCTCACATTGAATTGCTATATGTGTGCTTTGCCTTTACCTCTTCTTATTTTGGTGTATACGCGGCGCGCACGCTCTCTGCGCTGTGTGTCGGCCGCCGACTTTCGATCGCTGTTATTCCATTCGCATAGTCTTTCTCTGTGTACCACCGTATATGCCGTGATACACAAATACACATTGCCGGGCAAATCCACATCCATTTGTTAAACTATTCATATGCTATATATTATGGGCCCTCGAACGCTTAGAGCCGA